TTTATAGTAAACTTACCTTAAAGTTACTATAAAGTAGCTTATATAACTTTTACTTTATTTATTTTTACTATTTCTTTAGTAACTATATTTTAGTATTACTTTATAAATTTAGCTATATACTTAACTTTATAGTAGTTAAAGTACTACCTTAAGTAGAGAGCTTTATTATATAATTTAGTATTAAATATCTTAGCTTAAAAAACTAAGCTTTCTTAGTATAATTTATTAGTATTTTTTAGTTCTTTTATACTTAGTATTAAAAGTACTTTTATAGTAAACTTACCTTAAAGTTACTATAAAGTAGCTTATATAACTTTTACTTTATTTATTTTTACTATTTCTTTAGTAAAGCTTTTAACCTTTGTATACTTAGTAGAGAACTTTTAATAATTATACTAAGTACTTATTAATATATAGTTATATTTAAGCTAAAGGCAGCTTAAATTTAGCTAGTTTCCTCTTAATATTATTTTACCTCTCTTTAGAAAGTTACTATAGTATTACTACTTAGTAAGTACTTTATAGTAATTTTCTAAACTTACTATATTATATTAATTTCTTAAGTACTTAATATAAAGTTTTTATTCTTAGTAGTATATAGTAAAAGTATATTACTTACTTACTCTTTTAATTTTAAGTTCTCTCTTTAGCTAAGTATATTTACTTTTTTATTTTTAAATTCTTTATAGTATATAATTTTAAAGTTATAATTTATAAAAGTTTTATACTATTTAATGTATTATTATAATAGACTTAAATTTAAATTCTTTATGGTTAAGAATAATATAAAATTCTTATAATTAGTATAAACTTTAATTAAATACTTTACTTCTAGAAAATAGTATTTTTATTTTTTAAAGTACTTAATAATAGCTATAAGTTCTTTATTATAAATTCTATAATTAAGTTTAAGTCTATAGAGTTTCTTTAAGAAGAATGCAACTAGATGTAATCTTTCCTTTCTTAATTATTTTATTATTTAAGCTATTTACTTAATATAAAGTCCAAGGTATTTATTTTAAGCTTATAAAGTTTATTTTAATTAAATACTTTTAGTATAAGTTTTAATATAACTAACTTTTTTATTTTTTAGAATACTTTAGCTTCTTTATTAGTTTACTAAAATTTAATTTCTTTCTTTATTAAGTTTATAAGAAGTTATAATATATCTTTATATTTACTTAGGAATTTCTAGTAGAAGTTTATAAATACTATAAATTCTTTAACTTCTTTTAAATTTATTAATATTAGCTATTTCTTAATAGTTTTAATTTTATTTAGACTTATTTATATCTTACTATATATTAGTATATACTTTAGAAAGTATATAATATTTTAATATAACTAGTATTTTAATACTTTAACTAAGAGTTTATTATGTTATAAAGTTTATAGTATTTTATATATATATTATTTATATTTCTTAAGAGTATTTAAGTAGATAAAAATATTATTAAAGTATATAACTATAAATACTTCTAGCTATCTTTATAATATTATATTATTTATTCTTTAAAAAGTTACTAGTATATTAGTAAGCTTAAAAGGTATTACTAAATATTTATAGTATTCTCTACTAGTTTTAAATACTATTATCTACTTATAGCCTTCTTTTATTTATATAAAGTTATAAGCTTTTTTTAAGTTAAGTATAGTAAACTATTTAGCTTTTTTAACTTTATTTTATATTTTATTATAAGTAGTAATAAGTATTAATTCTTAATTATAATTTTATTTAAGTATTAGTAATTAATATATAGTTATAGTTTTCTATTTTTCTTTAGTATTTATAGAATTAAATATTTTACTAAGAACTTTAATAGTTATATATATCTCCTTCATAGTATTTCCTTTAAATACTTCTTAAGTGCTTTATTCTACTTAGAGTTTTAGAGATAAATTTTATTAAATATTAGTTTAGTATTAAGCTAGACTTTAATATTATAGTTTTAGTATAAATACTTTAGTAGTTTTATTTCTAGCTTTCTACTAAATAGCTTACTATACTATAAGTATTTCTTAGAAATCTTTATTATACTAGCTTCTAGCTTTTAGCTCACTAGTAAATATATATATTTCTAGAGGCTTATTATAGTTTAAATAAAGTGCTAGTGCTTTCTATAAGCTGCTCTCTACTTTATAACTATATTTTAGTGAATTCTATTAAAGTTAGCTAGTTCTTTAATTAACTTATAAATTACTTACTTATAACTAAAGTATCTTTAATATAATATTATATTTTAAAATTATTATAATATTTAATATAACTTAGTATTTTATACTTTATAAATTAATAAAGAGATTTATAATTTCTATATTGACTACTTCTTAGCTATACTTTACTATAGTTTCTTTTATAGTTATAAGTTAGTAGAGCCTATCTTTAAGTATTTAAAGTAACTATAATTTATTAATAAGATTTAGTAAGATAAAATTTTCTTAAGCTTTACTATTAATTATTACTTAGATCTTTCTTTTTATTATTATTATATTAATTATAAAGTATACTATACTACTAATATTTATAGTATATAAAGACTTATTAAATCTCTATTAAGAAATTAGTTTTAATTGCAATAATAGCTATTATTTCCTAATTTATTAATTCCTCCCTTATATTATTTAGTATACTATACTAGCTACTGCTTTTATTAATTATCTTCTAATAATTTATTAAAGCTTTCTTAGTAATTACTTAATTTACTATTTATATTAATTAAACTTAAGCTAAGTAAGTTGCTTATAGTTATATAGTTTCTATCTTTTTTATATTATAAGAGTATAACTTAAATAGTATATATATTATTTATAGTATAGTATAATCTTCTGTTTAATATCTTTAAGTTAGTTTGTTGTAACTTAGGTTGTATTATAGAGGTAGTTCTTCTTATAACGCTTATATATAGTTGCCTATAAAGCTAGTCCTTAATAAATAATAATAATAAGTAGTATAAAGTTGCTAAGCTATTATAAAGTAAAGGTATATTAAGTATATACTATATATAAAAAATGTAAAGTAGAAATATATAGTTACTAAAGAAATTAATACTATATATTTATCTTTACTATATAGTAGTAATATAAATAAACTTACTAAAAGAAAAGTATAAAATAAACTTAAGCTATAAGCTTAAGTAGATATAAAGTATTATATTAGTACTTTATTAAATACTTTTTAAATATATATTAAACTTATATATATATAATAAGTAGAAAAGAAAGAATAAAAAGCTTCTTCTTTCCCTCTTCTCTCTCCTTAAGTTTATAGTTAATACTAGTAACGCTTACACACAGTCGCCTGTAAGGCTAGTTCTTAACACTATAAAGAGTTAATTAATTAGCTGTTTAATACTTATACTATTATACTTTTAAACACTTTAGTAACTAGCACAAATGCAACCATTCTTAATGCCTTTACAGCTATCTAGATAGTTAATATTATTCTTTTAGATAAAAGTCTACTATACTAGAAGCACTAATTTACCTATATATAGTTAGCAAGAATTCTAGAGTTACTTAATAGAATTATTAGTTGTAAGAGATAGAAAGAATATATTAGTAGCTACTATAAGTAAATTAATTCTACTATTAAGCGTAATATATATATCTAAGCTATTAAGGGAGAGTTAGGTATAACTCTTAGTAATCTTTACCTATATTAAAGAAAATATTAGATAAAATAATAGGTAGATCTCTATTCCTAGTATATATATATTTAGATAAAGTAGATAGTATAATATATATATTTATAAGCCTATACTATTAATATTTCTAATAAATACTATATAGAAGAGACTTCTCTATTAAGTATAATATCTTGGAGAATGTTTTACATTAAGCTATATAAGCCTATTACTAAGCTATTAGTAAAAGTACAGTATTCTCTACCTAAATATATACCTAGTAATAGCTTATAAATTAACTAAATTAAGTCTCTTACAAATTTTCATTACCTATAGTAGCTAAAGTTCTTTCTTCTGTAATTATATATTTAATAAGGAATAAAAGTCTTACACGAGAATGTAGAAGTTAAAAGCTCGCTATATATTAATATTTCTAGTTTACGGAGTACACACAGCTCTATAGCGTGCAACGGGAGCCAGAACGAAGTACCTAATCGGGACTAGACATCCTAGAGTCCGAATCCCCTCTCAAGCGCTTCCATGCCAGTGTTTGCTAGTGAACTTACCACTGCTGCCATCCTAGCCGCTCTTATCCTGGCTACTCCCATCCTAGCTATTCCTGTCTTAGGCGTAGACAAAGAGCTCTATGCTGTAGGAACTCCTCCTAAACCGTTACTAGTCCATTGTCTAATTAGGAATAAAGGCGTCTTGCTGCTGCCGCCGAGTATAGAGCTGCCGTCCCACACCACTAGTGGGACAAAAATAGAAGTCGAAGCGCCCGTCTCTGCCTGGCAACCGAAAATTAGACACGGAGGCTCACTCGAGTACTCAACACCTCATCACACTTCTTGGTGGCCTCTGCATCAGAAGGGTCTGGCTTTTTCTCGCCCTTCAACCATTGGAAAGTATTTAATATCATCAAATATGTGTAGCCAAGGTGCTAAACTTCAACGTGCGATGAATCCAATCCCAGCGGCCACACCCTGAAGGTCCACCCCAAAGCGTTTGATCCTATAACCTCACTGGGAGAAAGTAGTCTATGCCTGTGAAACTCAAAACTGCTTCCGTTGCAATTCCTGCAGCACGTTGTCACAAGATGCAGCGGCGTAGCGGCGCAGCGCCCGTCACATGTTGTGACCACTGTAAGGGTTACAACACCGCGCATAAATATCGTGGCCACCGGCGCCGCCCACTATCTAGCTCTTAAGAGAGTAGACTTGAGTTGACCTTTATTGATACCCCTAGTGCAGTACTGCATTGTCCCTTTGACGATCCAACAGCTTCCATTCTGCAAGCTCCAGCCATGGACAGCGCCCTCTTGGAGTCTACCAACTTGAGTGTATGAATGCTTACATGCCCGAAAATATACGAGGCAAATCACTTCTCTAGCACCACTTGGACGTCCTGTTCCGAGAGCCCCAAAACCGAGGCAATCGTCCCGGCGGGATTACTAGCCGCCGACTCGGGAACGAAGTGAAGCTTCCTATCCTCGGTTAGCCTCCAGAACTTCAGTTTCCGCCCCATGTTCAGAGCAGCCAAGATTTGAAACTCCTTGATGTCGACACCCTCCAGTTTGGGAGACGCCTTTTCCAGGTCCTCCTCGGCCACGTTGCCGTCGAAAAGCTTGATCAAGGCAGCTGTCTGCCGGATGCTGACAGTGTCGGCATCCTGCTTGGACAAGCCCTGCACTTTCAGCTGCAGGTAGTCGGGCAGACTCAGGGCCAGCGGGTGCATCTCCCAATTGGTTCCGTCGTTGGCCGCAGCTTGCCGCAATGCCAGGCCCTTTTCATCCGGCGACGTGAGCGCCTTTTCAATCTCGGGGGCCGGTTGTGTAGGTACTTGGATATCCTGCGCCGTGCCCTGCCCGATAAGGTAGGCTAGGGTGAAGCTGTCGGGCAGGGGCAACTTCTCGCCGCGGATGCTCTGCTTGATGCGCTCGTCGGCCCCGGCATCAGTCAGATTCTTTGTGACAAAGAAGTCGTTATACGCGTCGGCTGCCGCCTGTATCGAGGCGTTCTTGTCCTGGTCCCGCACGTTGGCCACGAGATTGATCATGTACCGGCGCTGAGCGTCCAGAATCGTCGAGTCGAGCCTTTTGCGGACGTTTTCTGTGCCGTTTTGGAAGAAGCTCTTGAGCTGTTCTAATTCTGTCTTGTCATCCGTCTTGTTGAGCGCCAGCTCTTGGCTCTTGACCAGGACGCCAATGGTTTGGGCACCCTCGGAGAGGAGGGACAAAGTCTCGGTGGCGAGAGCACTGCGCATGTTGTCGCCAAACTCCCTAGACGAGAGCTCCTTGTACACGTGCTGTTGGAGAAACTCGGTCCAGGCCTCGTCTCTGATCTTCTTGATTTCCCGCAGCACCTCGGGGTCCGGTCCAGGGGGTGGGAGGGCGGCACGGATCAGTCCGATGATGAAGCGGGCGATGTGGACGGCGATGCCAAAAGGGGCAGTTGCTGGGTTGAAGAGCAAAACATCGCCAACGACGCACATGGCGTCATCGATGGCGTCCAATGCATTGGCTTGACCCCCAGCAATGTCTGCTGCTATCTGCGTAGCACAACCGACCACAGGGATAATGGCAGTCAGCGCTGCGGCGCAGTCGATGGCACTGACATTGTTTGCATACGCGTCTATAATGCCGTGGGCGTACAATCCCAAGCCGAGCGCCTTGAAGGACTTACTGAGGGACTTTAGTGCTAGCTTTCCAAAAGACGGCGGCGCCTTGACGTGGCTCAGGGCACTGCCTAGCGGCTTGTACTTGAGCGTGTCGGAGCGGAACAATGGGAGCTTCAGCTTTAGCTTGTTCTCGACGAAGGATAAAACCTTGTATCTCCCGGCTAGAGCCCTGAATTCTGTCGAGGATACATCCTCAACGCTTTTCACAAGCTCGCCTGTTGACGGCACTTCTCCTTCTTTGTTCAACTCGGGAGACCTAGGCGGCTCTTCTCCCGTCCTGGGGACTTGTTCATCGCCTTCCTTCTCGGGGTTCTTGAGACCTTGATCCTCGGCGCCATTTCCGGCCTCATCACAGAGACCTCGTTTTGAAATGGTACACCCGCCGCCCTCCCTAAACTCTGGCAGCTCCCAGCCTTTGGCTTCTGCACGCTTCAAAAATTTCGATGCAGCGTCTTTCAGGGACTTCCCGCTCAGGGCCTTCCACTGTGGCTCTTCGAGCGCTGGGTGGTTGGGGGGAAATCCAGCCAGCTGAGGTTCTGGAGGACTGGCAGTGTGCCCATTGTACTTGGCCTCGTTGTATCCCTTGAATGGCTTGAATTCGAGCTCTGGCTTGGCCCCAGTTGCCTTGCGAGCCTTGACCTTGGCTACACTCTTAATCTGGTCTGACCGAATGCCCAGTACTGCTACCCACTCCTTCTGAGATAGATAAATGTAGTGATTCTTGAGCGTGTCCGAGACCGAGAACATGTTTTCCGTAGCATGGATCTCGTATATGTACCCTTCCCGGCCAGCCGCAACTTCTTTGGCCGCGATCTGGGCATCGATAGTTGTCGACACGTATATTGAATCTTTAGGAGCGCCTCCAGCTGGATCGCCTCTCATATGCAAGTAGACACTCGCCCCCTCTTCGTTCTGTATGTCCATGCTACGGGGCGAAAAGCCTCCTGCTTTTTTAATAACCTCTGGCTTCCGGGTGTCGAAGCGGTATAAGAGAGTTGGAAGTGACTTCTGACGGATCGACAGGCCGTGAGCACCAGTCGACCATTCGAGGCATGCTATTAGCACGCATAGCAGTAGCGTGAGCGGCCCTTGAGCTAACATGATGCGTATCTAGGTAGTTAACGTGACGAGAGAGCCAGAGATGTGAGGCGGTTATGTGACCTCCCTGGTTAGTAAACGTCTCGCTTGATTATGTCGATAACTTTAGCTACAGCTCTTGCTGGGAGTTTTGTTTCTTTTTCCTTGAAAATAGAGACTTTATCCAAACCACACTCGATCATTCTCGTGCCGTGTACTGTTACAAGACAGCTGTGTGTAAAGTGATCTTGCTCTAGGGTTCTAGGCTTATGACGGGATAGAGAGATAATAACGAATGAAGAATCGATATGAATCGATAAATAGTAGCGTGGAGGGGATTGAATCTCTTGAAGAGAGCGCCGCGGTCTACTTGATCTACATATACTAGATGCTAGTAATAGTACGTGCTGAGATGGCATAGAACATATGCCCCTTGATGTCTGCTAGAGAGACGTAGTGGGCCTACGCTTTTGCTCTTTTCAGCGCAACAGCTCTACTATGGGAGCTTAGCATTATCAAGCGAGGTATGCCCACTTCTGCATGAGTAGGGACTTGTTTATGCGCTTTACAAGCTATACATCCAGACCCGTCACGGGGTCAGACAAGTACGAGTCGCCAAGTGGCTAGCCCACTTACTTCCGACCAGTGGAAACAGATGGCGATGCTGCATTGTCCTAACCCGCGGTACTGTTCCGGTGCATGACTTGCCGCATTGACTTGGCTCTTTAAAGCCACAATACGATTTACACAATCCACTCCAGCTTTATAAAGCGAAGAGGCAGGGTACAAGCTACAAGACAAAAAAAAATGCCACGTGGTGGCGTGAGGCGAGGATTATATACAGCTTGCTCCTTGATATGTATAACAAGCAGGTTCAATAAGAGAGAATTCCTCCATAGCACGTAGCAGGCGCGGTGTGCTACATGACTAGCGAGTAAGTGCGTCTCCATTGCCCTCCCCTGCGGGTTTGAGAATGCAACGAGAGTGGGGGGACGTTCATGGCACCGGGGTTAACATGGGAACGTCTGTGATCTGATAATCTGATCCACCCACCTGATAGTTGAGCGGCCAAGGTTATCACCACAGCACATGCATCGAGGCCATGGCGAAATGCATCGAGACGAAATTGGTCTCTTGTCGCTACGCTGTAGAGGGGAGATGGGCAAGGCAAGATTCGGGACGGCCCGGATCTCGCAGGGGAGACTGTTGCCTGTGCCAGGAAGCCAGCATTCATTCCTGCTGGCTTCTGACTGGCTAGCCCCTGAATGAGGCCCCCTTATCTAGCTGCTACAACCACTACTCCGTAGTTGCCGCGGCTCATCGCCAAGGGGCTTTGGAGAAAAGCAAGATGCCATCAGGTATCATCTCGAAACACAAGACAGCTGTGTTGGTAATATGCGTGACGCGAGACTGGTAGATGAACTGTTCCGTCCGTAGCCACGAGGTACTGATTTATTGATGCTAGGCTGTCGTATGCATGCATGCATGAGTCTGGTGCAATCTAACCGAGACGTGCTGACGCGGGCGTTACACTCAAAAGGCCCGCTAGAACTTGACGTGCTTCTTCTCCCTCTACATTCCCGCAACAGACTGTTTCGTACCAGCTCGCATTCTCTCACCCGAAAGCTGCAAAGGACCGCAAGGACTGGACCGCCTCCAGTAGTCAGGCAGTTTGGGGAACAACGGGCTTGCGGATCCCGGGGGTAGATTAACCTAGCACTGTTCGAAACAGAGCAACATCTACCAAAGCATGCAAATCACCTACAGGAGGTCCCGCGTCAAGTATCCATAGGTCTTGTTGGAGACTGGCCATGGCTCAGAGGAATGTCCAATTTTTCTTCTGGCAGGGCACCTCGCGTCTCATCTTCGCCCTCACGCCGGCCACCTCTCCTCCACACACGGTCGACGTCCTGCCCAGTTCAGTCATCTCTCGACGCGCAAGAGAGCCTCTCGCTACGGCGCACACTTGACCGGATCGTTCCACGTCAACGTCACCGCGGGCGGGCAGCCACGTGGATGAAAAGATGTCCAGTGCAGAAAGACGGCGGCCGAGGCAGCATCGTGCCGGCCACGCACTCACGCCCATGGAAAGGGGGTTGAAACCGCCAAGTTTGGGAACTGACATGCTCACCCGGCGGGCTTACAATAGAGGCAGTAGGGTTCTCCCCTTCCTTCCACCCATGTCCAGGGCGTCTGTGCCGTCGCAAGGGGCTCACGTGGAGCGCGGGTGGATGACGACGGCAAGAAGAGAGCTGCTACTGCGCGGTTCGTAGACGCCGAGGGATGGGAACACTGGACGCCGGCTGCCGAGTGGGTCAGCTTGGCCCCGGCGCAGCCGGATGCACGGCAATCGGCGACCGGGCCGGAACTGCTCCACTTTTTTGCGGGAATCCCCAGCCGGGGCGAAGAGGGGGCGTACGTACGCCGCGTCGCAGTCGTTCGCCATCCAGGTGTCTTCAAAAGCGGCCCCTGCCGTGTCGCAGGCCTCCCTGGCTTCTCGAGATGCTGAGTCGGTTGATTAAGCGAAGCCTGGCGGCAGGCAAAGAAACCTCTTGATCAGCTGGTCAGGCACCGCGTATTGTTGATTTCATCCAGAAGCCGTGGTGGATATCTCGCGAAAGAGTCTGGTCACAGAGGGCAACGCCACGATTTGGGCATCGGTGGCATTGCAGCAACGGGCCCAAAGTTTGCAGCTAGAGCAAGTCAGTTAGTTGGTCAATCAGTTAGGGCGAGGACTACGCATCGACTTCCCTATTACATCCAGTTGACGCATTGCTAGGGTCGAATCGAATCTAATTCTACGCAAAATGCGTCTTGCACAGCACAACACACACTCAGCTGTGCCGGGACAAGTGTATGCCAGCTTCAAGGTCCCGCAGCGTATTACCTTCACTCTCAGTAAGGACTTGTACGCCGCAATCACAATCCTCGCGGAGAACCTCCCAAATAAGTTAATGTTGGGTAAATCCACGCAACTGTTTGCTGCTGTGGACTTGGCTCGTCACAATGGTAACTAGACGGAGTGGTGTAAAGCCTCACCACGTGTATAGTCACCATGTCAGCTGGCACTTTTTCTTTTTCTTTCCTTGGGGAGGGTCTGGACGGCTGAGTTCTTCTCAAGTCGGCCTATTGCTCTTGATACGCATCTCCATTTTGAGCGAAGACGTCAGTCGTCATCTGCGTTGCCCTCCTCGGGCCGAGCCGCGCCCGCCCGAGCCTTGTCGGCAGCGCGCCACCGAGGAGATGCAAGGAGACACCGCCCGGGGAGCCGACTGGGGACGTGGTATTGTCACTCGGGGCCGCCAAGGCACTCCTCGGGGGTTTCTCGCCGCCCAAGGACGCACCCGAGGCCCCTACCCAGAGCGAGAACCACACCGGCGCGGTGCAGTCATGTTACTTCCAGAGGGGGCGAGAGCCGTAGGCGGAAACAAGGACGGAAGCAACGCCGAGGGGAACTTCGAGAAGAAACCAGGTTCGGCATGCTGGAAGCGCGATAGCGCATGCGGCAAGCTTCTAGACGGCTATAATGTTAGAATAAGCAAGTAATTACAAGTAGACCAAATTGCAGAGAACTATGCAAAAGCTAAAAAGATATTTTTACCAAGAATATTTTTCAACTTGAGTGTTATAAGTTAAGAAACTACTGACCATTAAAAGTATACCTTCTTCTACTTTAAACACTTGAGGCTAGAAAGAGACTCAAGGCAACAGGCGCGGCAAAGGGGAAGACAATGTAAACATCTCCAAGCCCAGCCGCTCACCAGCGCTCAGTTCGTCCAGCTTCGCACCCTACGCTCACGAGGCGCTCAACACGGTCAAGCAGTGAGATCACCCCATCGGGCAAGCCACGAAATACAGCAAAAAGGTGCAGGCCAAGCTGAAGGCTCACAGAAAAACCCACTCATTCCGGTGATGAATACCGAGGCGAGCCTCACCCACGTCCTGACTCCTGGCCCAGAGCGAGACTTTTACGGAATGCTAATTCCAAAGCTGTAGTGCAACATGAAAAAGATGCCTCGCCGGGACGACAAGAGAAGAAGGAAATACCGCCTTCCGATAGGTATTGGTTAAAACGTATGAGCTGTAGGTTTGGTACAGAGGGCTTGGAGCAGTCATGGCTCAATGTAAAGATGACGTCGTGTAGTGCTAAGCCGGCCTCGCGGTTTTAAACCAAGGACCTGACTGACCGACGAGCTCCTATATCGACCGAGATGAGGACTTAGATGCCTTGGGCTTCCAACCTCTCGTGCCTCGAGCTTTCCTGAGGCTCGCGCATCGTAATGCCACATCTTTTGTGCCCAGGCACATGCAGCCGGCCTCGTTGGCCCTAATCGGATATGGCATCCCTTTTTACGTGTAACACGACGCTGGGCAGGAATTGGGTATAGCAGCTTGCAACGAGGCGTGTTGAGTGATCCGAGAGGATTCATGGTCAGAAATGACTCCTGCAAAAGGGAATGCGACAACAAAAGGCAGCGGCAGTAATTCTAGAGAGGGGAAAAAAAAAATAAGAAAAGTGTCAAGCTCCTTCAACTCAGACGGCGTGCTGACTAATGACCCCGCCAGTCAAAATGCAACTCCACGCCATCACTGCCAACAACAGCAACAAAGAAGCCGCACACAACCTCGAAACCGGCCAACGACCGCGCTCCATGTCCCAACGAAACGACAGTCCCGCAGCCCCAGACGGACGCATCAACACCTCTCAAGCGAGGGCGTACTGGGAAAGCGCGCCGGTCGACGTCAACGGAATGCTCGGGGGGATCCCCGCGCACGACGGCTTCTCGTCGCTTAGCCAGATCGACCTTCAAGGATCGCGAACCTTTCTGGCAAGATTCGGCATCGGCACCAAGCGCGGCCGCCGCACGCTCACGAGCACGCTCGAGGGAGGAGCAGGGTCAGTCGGTCGTTTTTTGCTTTTGCCCCCAGTGTCGTTGGCTCCCTCTGCCTCCTGCTAACGCGCGGCCCCGACGCGACAACAGCATCGGAAGGGTGACGGAGGGCCTCCTCCTCCCCGTCTCCGAGCACGTCGACGTCGTGGAGCCCATCTGCAAGTTCACGGCCGCGCTCCAGGGCAGGCCCGGCGTCCGGAGCATCTTCAACGTCGGCCTGGAGGAGTGGCGGCCCAGCCCGGCACGCGAGTACGATCTCATCTGGGTGCAGTGGTGCCTGGGCCACCTCACGGACGAGCAGGTCGCGCGCTTTCTGACGCTCGCAAAGGCCGTCCTCAAGCCCGCCACCGGCCTGGTCGTGGTCAAGGAGAACCTGAGCACGAGCGGGACAGACGTCTACGACAGCACCGACAGCAGCGTCACGAGGTACGTCGCGGCCCCGCCGTCGCCTCCCCCCCGGACCGCCGGGAACGCGGGCTAACGTCGCGGCCAGGCAGGACAGCAGCTTCCGCAGAATCTTCCGACAGGCCGGCATGACAGTGGTCCGGTCCGAGCTGCAGAGAGGCCTGCCGGAACGTCCCACCCTCAAGCTGCTCCCCGTCAACATGTACGCCCTGCGGCCGTGAGCCGTGAGCCGTGAGACCAGCACGCGCCGCAAGAAACGCCCCCGTCGGCTGCTTCGACTCGCAGGGGAACTTTTTTCCTTCTCCCGCAAAGCTCGCGACGTGTGCGTGCGGCATTTCCCTTTGCGCAATCCGTTGAATCCTGGACAGCGCTCACCCAAAAATCGAACAGCGCGGGCAGTGTGCAGTGCAGAAGACGAACGCGCATCAACCATCTGTCAGTCGTGCACTTCCGGACAACTCGGGCTTCGGCCACAGTCACCACCTTGTTGTCTCGTTTGCCAGAATCTCCGCAACGTTCTGTGGCGGCGCGGGCTCAATCTTGATTCTTGAGCGCCCGTGTCCTGTCGCGACGACGAAGGATGAAGTGGCGCCTGCTAGGCCAGCCGCCCAAACGAAACTATAGTTGGTGGCTTGGGAAACCCATCCGGATGATGGATGGAACAGGCCTCGGAGAGAGGAACAGAAGCGTGCCTGACCCTTCTGCCCACGTTTGAGAGAGCCGACTCAGGTACTCTTCGTCTTGGGCAACGCTCCGAGTCGGACTTGTCGGACAGATTGGTTGCTGTGCTTACTGATACGTGCTGGTACAACGCCGAGGCCCAATTGGGGACCAACCTCCCGGGCGAGTGTGCCACTTGCAACATGTCCCGTGAATTTCATGAATTATGAGGCTAGACTAGACCATCAAGAGCAAGTAGCCTGGAACACAACATGGCGACTCTGCAAGCCTAGCTCTGTGCATGTCGTATTTGACTTGGGGACAGATAAGTGGCTACCTACAGTCGCTTGCAGAACCATCTCCAGAACAGACGTGTTGAATCGACAAATCCAGTCAAGCCAAGCGGCAGGCCGGTCATGTTGCATGGGGACCTGGGTACTCCGTAGCCTGTTCACTGCTTACTCAAGTACCTAGGTAGGCATCTACAGCGTCACAATGAATCCGGCCTGCATCATTGGTTGCCTTGTGTACAAGTCTCAATTAAACTCCATATTGATATCTAGATCGAAAATGTTGACATGCTAAATTCCCCCGTATCCATTCATCGTCTCAGCATTGTTCGCCGTGGTCTCCACACGAAGCTTCATTCCAATGTGGGGTGGGTATAATCCAGAATTGAAGCGTCGTTACATAAGTGAGAAAAAGGAAGAGAAAAGAAAAACATCTCTGCCGGCGTGACATGTTGTCCAGCTTTTCCTGAGCCACGCAATGTCGCTCTAAACTCCTCTGAACATCCTCACAACCAGGAACCACATGGCGCCGAGAAATTTGAATCCGCTAAGTACCGCCACACTCCAGAGCACAATGGTCATGTAGATGTTGGATCGCTCCAATGCTTGTTGTTGACGGTTGCCGCTTCCGGGCGTAATCTTCTCCAGCCCAGCCGAGCTGAGAACCAGCGCAGCCAAAGCAAAGTTGGTAATCATCCAAATCAACACTACACCTGTTCGTACACCTCGGTAGTAGTCCATTTGCTTTTCCTGTAACTGGGCAGCAGACGGCGGCGTCTTGACTGCCTTGAACTTTGTGCTGAATAAATCAACCTCGCGTTGATATTGGGCGTTCAAATCACCCTCGTCAGGAAGATCCGTCTTGCCCTCGCCGTCTTTGGTATTGACAGAAGGCAACTTTTCCACTTTGTCGTCACCTTTCGTACCCCACGAAACGTCGTGAGTATTGCAAAAAGCGTAGACGTTCAGGACATTTGTGTAGGTAGGAGTAAGCAACATGTACTGTATGAACGAAGTAACCATGTGCCACGGGTCGAACATGATGATCGAGGCAATGAGCCAAATACCAAAAGTGGACATGACGGAAATAATGAGCGTGTAGAAGACTGGATTCCTGAATAGTTGGCTGATGCTGAAGGCTGTGCCGCTATTAACGTCTTTGATAATGGCCTTGACCGCAATGAAGACGGCGGCAAACATCAAGTATCTGTAGTTGTTAGCAAATGGGGGCGGGAGCTTGCGAGTCGAATGCTTACATCATTATGCCAGCCCAGAACCACACCATGGCTGTGTACAATTTGCCAGAACCAGCTGGTCTATTACCCATGGAGAGCACGAAGCAAGTCATCAAGAATACGCCATAGAGCCAAGTAAACACGACGCTTAGAATCTCTCCTGTTCTTCCCAGTAGGTCGTCGGAGCCGAGACTCGTCGTGAGAATCTTGAAAACTAGGAAGAAATTGCCAATGGCAAACCACGCAAAGATCATATTAATTGTGTTGAAGACGAATTCGACGAAGAAGGCCAATTTCCGGAAAAAGGAGTGATCCGAACGAAAGAATTCATGGAAATGAGCAATGGCATAAATGGCCGCGAAGAAAGATCCGTTCAGCCATCGTCGACGTTGGAGAACCAGTTCCGTTACAGTATCGGGCACATCAGTCTCTCCCGTGGCAGATTTGACATATTGAAGAATCCAATGGCAATTTCGCTTGGTGACCAATTCGAAGCAAAGAATTCGGTCCTCGGCCAGGTACATGTTTGACTCGAAAAGTCCGGCGTTGCTGCCACCATGCAGAGTCTCACCCAAAAAGTACTTTTCTAGCGGGCCCTTTCCGTTTTTGTCGTTTTGCAGGGCAAGGTAGCGATAAGCTGAGAAGGCACCAGGCAAGACTGATATGAATCCAAAGGCAGATTCAAGAGGCTTGTCGAGAATGTTGCTCATCTTGTACTCAAAGTTTTGTGTGGCCACTAGCGGATTCAAAAGGTTCTTGCCGCCCGTGCCCAACATGGCCTTGATCTCACCGCATGCTCCGCCGCACATGGGCTCCAAATCAAAGGCTTTCCACAGGTGATAGATGGAATTGCCTCCAGGGCGTGTACCAGCATCGATCAGGACGCAAATGTTGGGGTCCAGAACGCGGCCAAACGCCTGGAAGAACCAACGATGTGAGTTGATCTTTTTCTGGTTCTTCTCCTTGAGGCAGAAGAGCATTTGCACCGGCTGCCGATTGTGGACCAGAGAAACCACGTCGTTCTTGAGCTGCAAGTGGGTCTGGGTGGTGTACTCGTAAATGTGCGCCGTCACATCTTTCTCGTTGACTTGCTGTTTCGCAATACCCTCCTGATAAACACCCATGCCTGCCAAAATAGCCTTGGTCCGTGGATTGATCTTGGCACGCCCATCGCTCACCACACAAACCACGATTTTCTTCCACGCGTCCTTGCCCCAGGTCTTACTGTTTGGGCGATTGCACATGTACTCTATATTCTTGAACACACCAATCATGGTACGAGCGAAGAGGATATCGTCTTCGTTATACATGGTCACGACGATGAAAAGTTCAGTGTGGCGAGGCGAGCTGAAAAGCTTTTGACGAAGGGTGAAGTTCTGGTTGTAGAAGTCTGAAGGATCGCACGTGGCGGCGGAATATCGCATATGAGTGAACTCGTCGCGGTGTGGGCTGTGAGTATTCTGCTTCAAGTAAATGGGAGGAACGGGGCAGTCCAGAACGAGGTTGCCACGGTACAACAAGACCTGTTTAACCGTTTTCCATCGTTTGATTCCTCCAGCTGGAGTCTGGGTGTGATGTCGAGGGTTGTCTGAATAGCGAAGCTGATCTTGCATCAGTGGCTGACCATCGTCATCGAATGCTTGATGGTCCGATGGAGGGTGCCCTTGATTGTAGCCGTCGAAAAATTCACCTTGGTCGTGTATCCGCTGGGGGTTGACGGCGTGGTCTTGTTGATGCTGATAGTATGGCACGGGGCTCGATGTCTGCGTTATCGTTTGCTACGAGAATGAGCATCAACAGTTTCAGCGTGGCCACGGTCATTGACTTCCAACGTACCGGCGTTTGCATATACAGCCTTTCGTTTGAGTAGTCTGATTGATAACGCTGACCCTGTGAGCCATTGCTATAGGGGCCTAGATTATGTCCTCCACGGTCGTCATAGTATTGATCTGCTTGATAACCAGCAGCTCCCGCTGAAGGTGAGCGCCTTCCCCCGAGGCCCCCATCGTTATAATGGTTGTTTTGCATCTCGATTTCTGTGCACGAATGTTAGAGTGGCCTCCCGGGCCAACCGTTGAAATGAAATAAATAAAAAATACACGACTAAAAGCGAATGCGCGATATTATGGCGGCGACTAAGCGGATTTGTCGGCCTGCTGAAATGTCGTCTCGTTGGACTAGAGAGCCGGTCCAGCTTGTGGCGGGAAGTCAACGAGCACGGGCAGCGCAGGCTATCAACAAACAGGCGCAGAGGTGGAAGAAGAAATGCAAGGGGTGTGAGCGATGGAGATCATGGAAGGTGGCTGGAAGAGATTCTATAGGGATGGTGAAGGTGGGGGATGACAGTGACGACCTTGACACCGCGAGAGGCAAAAGGCACCTACTTGGGAAGGTAGGTATTTTACCAGACAAAGATGAATGGCGATCACTCGGGCTAGCGTATGCTCGGCGATGAGCAAATACATGTTGTCAAAGGCTGTGCAAGGACAAGCAGAACAGTGGCCGCCAGGTCGGGATTCCGCAAATTCGAGAGCATGATGAAGGGACTGGCAGGGGTGAGGGGGGTGCAAGTCGGAGATTGATCCACGAGGGCATGGATGATGGCTGAGTAGGTTTCAAAGCATAAAGACAGTGTACGATTCAAAGAGACTTGCCTCTGTCGTATCCCTCGCCTCCGTATCCATCACCTCCATACCCAGGCAGTCTATTGTATTGCGACATGTTGCGGACGTCAATGACGATGGGGTTGAATCAGCGGGGAAGGATATCGTGAGCGGGCGGACTGGGCGGTTGATGTTGTCTCGCAGTCACGAGCGCTGAGCGCACGGAGCAACGGTCGAGGGAGGCTGGAGAAAGCGCCGTTTGTTGCAAATTGCGATGGTGACTGGATGGCGCGTTCGGGAGCTTGCAATTTCCGAGGCCCAGCGTCGTCATCCAACAGAATGCAACGTGAGCCAAATGTGCCCCTCCACAACTGCGCGTATCTCGTGGCCGACGTCAACGAATGCACCGCTCTCGCGAAGGAGGAAGCAAGTATTGCGGGTGAGGTGATGCCGACGAAATCGAGTGGGAAAAGGGACGGGGTGAAGGGGAGTAAGTAAATGAGCCTGATGTGAGTTTCAAGCCCTGGAAAGAAAGTCATCGGGCAGGTTTCAAATTATTGGGTGGCAGGGGCAGGAGCAAGGAGGTTTGACCAGGGTTGCACATGCCTTCCTCCATTTCCTGCCTAGGTACTCCGTACTCCGTACCTACCAAGTTGGTGGGTATGTGCTCCATACATCTGGCGTTGCTCGTGTGGCCGGCGCCGCGACGAACGATTGACCCCAGCCACTTTATGAACAAGGCACATCAGGCACTCTCGTCGGAATATTGGCTGCGGGCCCACTGCTCATGGCATGCATTACGGAATACCTAGGTACTTAAGTACTCCGTACTCAAGTAGTCACTACACAGTCGGTTTGGGGATGGCCATTAAGGTGTACGGAGTACCTACTTAGTAGGTACTTAAGAACCTGGGTGCCCAGGTTCAGTACCTACCTAGGTACCTAGTTACTCCGTCCGTCGCGATTTATGTGAACTTGGCCTTGTCTCATTTCAAGACATTCGCCTTCCCCCCGGTCGCCAAGAGCCCCTGCCCCTCTGCGGCAGCTTGCCAAAAGCACCTCGAATCAACCGAACTACATAAGTGATCGCATTCTCACGTTTATTCTGCTGTTTCTACCAAGTTTGTGGCCGTAACAATGTCGCGTTCTCCCTTTAAATTCGCAAGTGCTCTCATTTTTTGTCCCAGAAAACCTCTTTACAAGACAGTCTTCTCCTTCATCTCAATGCCGTACTTTTCCCTCAGTTCCTTCATGATCGGGTTGTTGATCTTGGCAGACATGGGGGCCAGAACTCCCTTCTCAGATAGCGTACCGTCCAAAACCTGCTGGACGGCCACGGCACATGGAATTCCGACCAGACGCGCCATGGCAGAATAAGTAGAGTCTCCGTATTCCACGAGAGTAGACGTACGGGTCTCCTTGGACCCGTCCTTGTGCTCGATCTCGAACTTGTGCTGAAGCATGACCATGTCTCGCTCGCCTTCCCCGAATTGCATCTTCTGCTCGAGGACGGCGCAGAGGGTATCGAGTGGGTTACTCCTGGGTGTGATTTTCTCGTCAGAGAAGATACCGATCCATCGAAGGCCTGAAAGAATTCGGTCACGGTCCTCAGGTGAGTCGAATTCGGCCTTGGCAACGATGGCGGCCTCGAGCTCCTTGGGGTCGGATGAGGCAGCTCCGAGGACAGCCTGAGTGGCCTCCCTCCAGGTGATGAGAGACCCGAGGGCCTTAATGGGCGTCTCCTCCAAGAAGCCGACCTGCACCAGACAGCGGATAAATTGTGGAAATCCCGCGTATCGGAGAGTTCCACGGATGATTGTCTGAGCTTCAGGAATGTTGTATCGTTGGGCGTAAGGAGTCGAGTCACGGTTGGGGTAGGCAACAAATGCGAAACCAGGCATGATAAAGTACGGCCTGGCTGTGCCCATTAGGTCCTTGCTTGCAATGTTGAAGACCTTCCCGTCTTGTATGATAGACGCGGCATTCCTGAGGGCAAGCAATACGCCTCTGGAAGACCAAGAGAACTTATAACCCAGCGGGTTGTCGGACGATTCGGGTGCTGGAAGTCCTGAAGCTAGCTGTCAGTGGGGCGTCCACGCAGGGCAGTCGGCCTCCGTAGAACATACCTCCGCAGTAAGAGAGGAACTTTATAATTTTACCGCCAGCCGCATGGACTTCGTCGATTGTCTTGACAGCATCTAACTCGGGTCAGTGGTTGTGGTGTCGGTGATGGTGCTTCTGCCGTGTTGAGGATGGGTAGGGCCGCCCTCAAGCTGGCCACGCATGTACTTACACAAGTGGTCAATGCCGGGATCTACGCGGTAAAACGAAGATTAGCAATGACCCATGTTACTTTGAAGGATAAATGAACATACCAAGGCCAATCTCGTTCATGACCGTGATTCCGGCATCCTTGCACTGCTGGTCCAGCTCCATCATTGCGGGGGAAACGTAGCTGGTAGTGACAACGTTCTTCTTGTTGCGAATAGCGGACTTGATGACATTGACATGGTAGATGTATGGAATCAAGCTGATGACCAAGTCATGCTTGGCAACTTCAGCGTCTAAGGCATCGTCGTTCAAGACGTCGACCGTCGTTGGTGTGGCAAGTTTATTGTCGCCGACAAGTGCTTGCGCAGTCTTTAAAGTTCGGCAAGCTGAAAAATTCCAAAGGAGAGAAGAATAAGTGTCAGCAAAGGCATTTTGAGTTGGCGTGGAGGTTCTTTATGTTTTTCTCAGGAACTTGTACGCGGCGGTTGGCAGGGAGTCCGTACCGACGGTGACTGGGATGCCGGCCTTGGTCAGAACATCGAGCGTGGGCTCTAATTGAGGAAGTCAGCCACTGTAAATTCGCAAAGTCCCGAATTGGTTTCGAATACTCACTCGTCACAAAGCCCGCGCCGAGCATCAGAACGGATCTATTGAATGGCAGGGTTAGTGACGGGGAATCGCTCGCGTCATTTATGCCGGAACGGGTGCCGGTACGGGACGTACTGTTGCGCCATGGCGGATTGGACGGTTTCGGCTGGTAATAATTCGTGGTAGGCAGGGGATTGTCAAGAACTGTCTAACAAAGAATGAAAATTGAGGACATCAAGCACCGTGGAGTGATTGGCAGTCGGGCCGTAAGAATCCGGCCGATGGGCGGCCTAGCAGGTCACTCGTGGTGGAGGGGAGGGGTTGGTTGGGTCTGGTCTGGCTGTCCTCATTTGCTGACCAATTGTGCTGGTTGGATGTAAATGGCCGGAATTCGGAGGGGCACAATGGAGGGGCAAAAAATGGCGGTGGGACGATGCATAAAATCACAGCACAGGGAGGAGACCTGGGCTAACAAGCTCTAGCCTGTTGGGGCAGGTATGGAGTTTAGCTGCGTGATAACTACTTGGTAACTTGGCACCACCTTGACACCTTTCAGCCGCAACCAAGACCAAAAATAGCATCCAGGGCTGCACAGCCACGCCTTTCCCCGTCCCAAGTACAGAGTACGTATAACGTTACTTGCTGGGTACTCCGTACAGCCATGTAAGGCCAGCCTCTGGATGAATGCTGCGCCCATCAAGTCAAGTCACCAGCGTGGGGATGGGTAGTCATCGCGGCGAGCAACGGAGGCCGGCAGTTCAGGAAACTGGGTACAGATTGGGGGGTGCACGAGTGTGTAATCAGATGTGACCGTGACGGTGGGCTATCGTCAAGTCTGGTCAGCAATTCGTTGCGCCATGCACAATCGGCTCTCGAGAATCCGTCCCGGCCAATACATATATATGTATACGTGTGCATACCTTTGCGGTGCCCTCAGTCTTGGTAACCACTGCCAAATCGCAGTCTTTGCAGTCGACTTCCCAAGGGACGGCCGCCGTGGCTTTGTAGACCGTCGTCGTCCCGGTGAGACTGGTGGTGACGGTGACGCTGGTCACGCACTTGGTCGTCCCGGGGGCGGCAGAAGCAACCGTTGCGCTGCCAAGTATTCATCAGCCGCCATTTGTGCAAAAGCCTGCCTCGTGTTGGTTCTATCTTGTCCGTCGTAGTCGTCGCTTCACTCCTTTGCTCCCGTGCCCCTTAACGGCAGGACAAATCTCTCCCACGCTGGGCTTACCTCGCGATGCTGCCGAGGACAGCAATTGGAACCATTGAAGGATGCATCGTGTGACGAGAGCGCTCTTGACACGTCGGGCATGTAATGCTGCCGGTTGCACATGGAATAAGCCACCTTGATACATGTATCCTTGGACCTTGATATATATGTATTGCAGTCGCCATCTAGCGGGGGCGAATATCCCCTCCCCTCCCTCTGGCCCCGGTGCTAAGCGTTCTCTGTCGTTTCGCCGCGTCCAAGGTAAGCCCTCGACGCTGGCGCGGTTTGCACACTGGTCCACTTTAGTAGGGAACTATGCCCAGTCACCGTGTCATGGACATTGCCGTGTCGGCAGCAATGGTGAGCCTCTCGACTCTTGAGGAGGCCCAATGGCAACAGATGATACACTCCAACTGACTCAACTCTCTTTGTTTCCGCCGGGTGGGAGAGACGATGGGCTCGGACGGACAGGCGGGGACTGTTGACTCTCGAGTAATGTCAGCCTGATCTGAGCTGGCGCAAGTAACTACATTGCCCTCTCCCCGCGTTCCGTGACGGTTTCGAGGCCAAGACGTTTCAGACCACCGGCATGCTCTGCTCCGTCGTAACTGCCGGCTTGCCTCTGAGGCCTGCTGAAACTTGGGCTCCAACCCACCCCGACCCCGCCCCTGTCGGCTGTCGGCGAGGCTTGAAACCGATTTCTTTCCCCAGCGTGCAGCATTTGGATTCATCACTCACGCTCATGCTTCCTGTTGCGCCCTGCGGCGGGGCGCTTGCTTTCCATTTCATCATCGTGGTGAATAAATGGCCAGGCGTCTGCCAGTGGCCCTTGAATCCGTCTGCTGTCTGGCTGCCTGGCTGTGTGCCGCAACTATGCGCAACTTGCCTCTTCCTCCAACCATCAACCCAACAGATCGCGGGGCATCAAGCGGAATAACGGGGCCGGTAGGTGTCCAAAAGTGGTAGGGGCTTCTTTCGGACAAGAAACGGATGATTCCTGCTCTTGGTGGCGAGGAACACCCTCCTCACTACAACCAGACGGGCCTCCGGGCCCTCGACCTTGCCATTCTTCACTTGTTCGCTGACGGATCTCTTGGTTGCATTTAGAGTTAAACATACATGTTTATTCTGCGCTGGCCAATCTTGTATTCGCTCGTGTCTCGAGAAGCGTGGGCTACATTTATATACGGGCGCAACTCTCTGGGGCGCTGTTTTTGGAAATCCCAATTGGAACCACAGGCTCCAGCAAGTTCGCTGCAGTAAACAAAAGCCAGCCGGTGGTATGCAGTCCGTAGGGGTCCAGTTGTGTCCTTGGGCGCGCTTCTAGCCGCGCAGACTGGCGGAAGACGTGGTAGCCTGAACAAGCTCCTTGCCACACCAGACACCCGCAACATCGGCAACACAACCCTTCCACATGACGAGGGTCGTATCGCTCGCCGGCAAAAGCAAGAGAAATCGAAGCGAAGAAGTATCCCTCGGCTCAGTCGAGCGTGCGACTAGGGCCATCCTTGTATAACCCAGTCACAGACCAACTGGTATGGGCCTCTTCAAAGCAGGATGAGCTCATGAAATAATCGGGCACAAGCTGTTGACGTATGAAATTCGAGTCGCGAGGGCAGTGTTGACAAGACAGGAGACGTGTATACGAACACCGTATTCAAATCATGGCTGGCGAGTATGATCCGGAACGTCCAAGGGGGCCGGCCAACACCCCCCCCCCCCCCCCAAAAAATTTTTCATTGTGGCCGAGTCCCATAACATACCATCTGTCATAGCTTGGGACGGACGAATGAGCGAGCTTTCGAGCAAACGTCTAGAAGAACCACCACCGCTTAGAGGTCTGGCTACTCGTGTCGTTCAGCTTGTTCATGAAGCCTCTTCGCTGCTGGTCGCTGAGGCTGCTGCCGACGGCATCCAGGACCTTCAAGTGCTCCTTCTTGAGCTCCTCGAACCCGGCGTCTAATTCCTTGTGCCACGGGTACAGGACGAAAACCTGAAATCCGAGCGCCGAGCTGGCAACAAGAAAATTGGTGAGGGAAATAGCACGCGTGACTATCATTGTGGACTGCGGCGCGGGAGAGCAGCTGTGTGCGCAAAGGGAGCGACACGTGGCCGCTGGCTTGAGAGTCGTTTCCCGCCCGACGCTCTTCAACGTTTGCCTGCTGCGGACTTGCGGTGTCGACCGGGTCGAGGTGAGTTTGGCTATCTCGGGCGCGTAATGTTCGGGGGAACGTGTGCGACGGCACGAGTGCAAGATTGAGTCGAGCAAAGGGCGGAGGAGACGGAGAAAATGGACAAGCGTCGAGAGGCGTGAGGAGGCAAAAGGGAAAATCGGCTATTTCCGGAGTCGGGAGTTTGTCGGGGTCGACCAAGAGCTAAACCCAAAATGAGCACACAGAAGAGGCCACTGGTCCACAGTTCCACCTTGGACCTCGTGGTTCTCGACGGACAACGGACGGGGACACGATAATTTCACTTTCCACCCAGCATCCAGCACTCGGTAGAAAAATGTATTCAACGCCGATTCCGGGCCAAGCTTGGCGGACACGACTTGGTGCGGAAACGAGAGAGTAGCCGAACGTACAAAATCACGGCATCAAGTACACCGGCCGGCAACATGTGTATGTGGTTGGGAAAAAAGCCTCGAGGCAGACAACCCCCACTCCTCCGTCAAGTGGAAAGTGGCGTGATGCTTTGACGCCGAATGGATGGAAGAACAGAGGTCAGGCCCATCGTGCAGATTGCCGGCAACAATGCAGTACAGCTTCTCGACTTGAGGGACCTGAGCATCCGAAAGGCTGTAAGCATCGGCGAGAGCGTTGGAAGCGGGACGCTCGTCTCCAAGACGAAACTCGCCCGCACGAAAGAGGAGGTCACCATGGCCTTTGCCTGCTTCTCGACTGTTAGCAGGGAGGCTTCTGGCTCTGTCTTGAACATCGTGGGAAATGCGCGAGTCCGGCTCGGCCATCCCGTGCCGGCCATCCCGTGCCGGATATCCTCGCCCCCAGGCCTCGGCCTGTTCACGGTATGCGGCCGGTGTACTGATGTCGCTGCACGGAGCTTGCGGTCAACAGAGCCTCAACCACATGACTTGCTGCAGTGCACAGACGTTTCAGCCATCTCGATGCCCTCATAAGCTTCTCGTGGGCCCAGGCACCAACGCACAAAGGAACCCCTTGACGCCTGAGCCGTCAGGCCAAGGCTACATACACGGGCATCGTCTTGTACGTATAGCCCCCGTCGGTCGGTTCTTTGGATTGAGGAACCGGGGACCTGGGACCGTACGGTATTGCATGTGAACTGAGCCTTTGCTCCAAGCCCTGATCCCTGTGACCAGCTCTTGTTCCATACTGACCCCGCGCCCTGTTGGCGTTCCATCATCGTCAGCCAGGCTGTCGACGATGGCTTGCCCTTGCCAAGGGAACCTGCCACTCATGCCTCGGCGGTCGGTGGTCCATCCATGTCGGCGACGGCAGAAGTGACGCCTCTCAGTACCTCTCTTCCCTCTCGGGTCATCTCTGTTGCTGTGACTGCAAAGCAACTCTACGAGCGGTCAAGGCAGATTGGCTCCCGCACGACTGTGCACATGTCACGGCCAGCCGTACTTCCAACAGGTAGAGGCCAGCTCTGTGCGTCGCAGACTCGCGGCAAGTGAGCATGCGTCCTTGGTGTTCGCGGCCCCAAGCAGGACATCACCTGCTCCAGTCGCCTCGCGCCGTGGGCTTGTCTCTTTCCCGATCTGCCCTTTTCCTCGAGCTCGTATGTCGGCTTATCCTGGCGGTCGACGAGTCGTCAAATTTACCTGCGACCTTGTTTGAAATGAGAAGAGGGGCCATGCTGACTCGTCGCTTGCATCAAGGTCATGTCCACTGGCTTCCCGTGCGTGCTCTGTTGTTATCTTATCCAACACTTTGCCTACCGGCACATGGTCAACGTCAGGGGGGGAGGGTCGACCCTGTGGCTCGATCAGTTAAATTTTTTCTGGAACGTCAGATGTAGATGAAGGTCGTGTGCCCAGAAAGCAACAATGCGTTTGCAACATGTAATGAGAACAAGACTCAGAAGCTCCACCGTAATTCGGGACGAAAGTTGAGGCTGCGTACGTGGCCTGGAGGCTGCCCAGGAGAGCCAAGGGACGAGGCTCAACCCAGGCTTCAGTATAAAAGGTGACGATGGGCTCGACAAGTCTGCCCGAGGAACATCGCTCACCACGACAACCTTTCCTTGCTATCACATCTTATCATCACTACCACTCAATAACTATACTTTTGTCTTATCTGTCAACTCTTCAAGGCATTGACCATGAAAGTCGCAGCAGTCATCACGCTCGTGTCTTTGGCCACATCCACCTTGGCGCTGCCATCTGCCAGCCCACAAGGACAAGACCTCTCCTCCAACGGGCAAGGTCTGATGGAACACTGTTCGGGTATAACAAGTAAAGACTGCGTCGAAAAGGCTGCAGACACGTCTGGGGAAAACATCGCAAATACAAATAAGGCGAAAACATGCAAGCAAAAGGCCGCGAATACGTCTCAAACCGCCGCGAATACGTCTGAGCAAAAGACGGCAGATGCGTCTGGGCAAAAGACAGCAGATGCGTCTGGGCAAAAGACAGCAGATGCGTCTGGGCACAATGTCTCATCAGAACAAGGCATCAGTACTAAGGAGATAAAAGACATAGATCCGGTATACTACAAAAACCGCGGAGAGTGCCAGACAAAACGACATGAGAGACTTGATTTTTGTGAGAGATACTATGGGAAAAAATGCACAGAAGGCAAAGAAAGATGTCAGCAAGATATGAATAGCTGCGTGACAGGCTATACTGAAGCTGATTGCGAGACCCAAGCTGTGGATGCTGCGAGGAAGAAGCTTCTGGACACACGCGGAAAAACGTCTAGCGACAAGTTTATTGATGAATATTGCAGCTCCTTGGCCACCAAAGATACAAATAAATGTATCCAAGGAAGCCAAACAGAAGCAGAAGATCTCAATTTTAAGCTTTGTCTCAACACTGCGATGCAAAGCTACACAAACTGCGTTGCAAGCAAGTCTGGGGAAAGGGTCAGCATCCCGGCTGTTTATCCGTAACAGGCCAAAAAGAAGCCTTGTCCCGGAGAGAAGCAAAAGCAAGTCTCGTACTGCGACCATGAACAGGAGGAGAGTGCGCTCCGTGTGTCTCCGGTGGATGCAGTCACCTTATTTACCGGTGTGCTCACGAGGATGCAAACGCCAGAAGCTTTGCCTCGTGCGTTCGTTCTGTCTTGAGCATCTGTCACATGGTTGGTTGGGCAGCTTGGGGTGCACAAGGCTATCATGACAAGACCTAGGGCAGGAGGATGCTGCAAAGTCGTTTCCTTGGGGGGGAGGGGTTATAGAATATGACTTGTGTACTTGGATCTTTCTCAGCATTGAATATCAGCTTAAAAGTATCTCTCAGGTTCCTCTTGACGCCAGATTTCAAAGCCTTGGCCCTCGTCACCCTTGCCTACAAGGGTATATATATCGCACCTGTACCAAAGGCAAGACGGAGACTAAGATCTCAACAGGTACAAATAGCAGTGACGAAAAAAAGGCTCAACTAAAACAACTGCTGCTTTCATACCAAACTATAGTCGTTTACTACTGCAAAGACGAACGGCATACGACATCATATGTGAATCGAGTCTTCTGCCCCAAGCCCCAAGCAAGCCCTCACCCAACACGGCTGCGGTCTGGGTGAGCCTTGCTACTCCGTACACAGCCCGTGTAAAGTTCTCGCCTCGACGCATCCACGGCTCGTTCCATGTGCCCCCATGTCGCCCAACGAGACGCATCCCAGACGTCTCGAGACCCATCGCAACCGTGGGGTTGCTAGAAACCGAGCTCCAAGGGGAAGGCCGCGATGTTCGCGCGCCTCAACAAGCTGCGGCGCAAGCCTTTTCTTTTTTCACCAAGGCAGCATCAAGCTGATCTGATTCAACACCGGGCAAAGATGGCAGCATTTAAAAAAAAAGCTTGCGACGGGAATCAAGCCCTGCACCTCGGTGCTCGTGGATCGCAGATGTTGGCGAAACTAGAGGATGGCGTTTGTCACGATGCCAACCACCAAGTGCCAACATGTACATGTCCGATGTTCCCGACTGCGCACTAAATAAAAGCCATCTCATGCACGCTCGGCCAGAGGTGAGATTGCAGGCCAAGTAACAAGGACGAGGGCAAAAATTTGACAAGACTTGTGCATCGACGAACAGTCCGTACCCGGATTTGAACCAGGGATCTACAGATTTGCAATCTGCCATCCTAACCACTAGACCATACGGACTACTTGATTATGTCATGGCTCGGCATGTTTCTTTATATTCATATGACCACAGTGGAAACCGGAATCAGTGCCGTTGAATACAAACTGAGTGGGGCCTAGGCACCATTTGGCTTCAAGGTACCGCAAGGTACCGCCAACGAACCTCTGACAATAGCAAGATTAGACCACTCAGTTTCTCATGTTTTCCCTCTTTCTTTTTGTTATGCACAGCACTGCATGTTAGGTATTAATACCGCCACAAAACGACCTTTATCAGTCATGGCGCCATATTTGTCTGCAGCCCGGCGAGTATTCGCTCATAGCCTGATTAAAAAGGGATTCAAGAACAAGGTGATAGCTTCGGCTGTCCAATGCAATCGGCGGACTGTCCAGAGAATCCGCTGTGAGCAAGCGAAAATGGCAACCTCGACACCAAACCCAGTCGGTCGACCCAGTACCATCACACCAGCTACGCGTCCTGGTCTACGTGAAATGCTAGATTTACAATCGGATTTAGAAGGAGACGAGACGCAATCCTGTTCCGAAGTCAAGTGGAATGTGAAAGTGTCGAAAAGCGCGATTGGTCGTGCTCTTGAATCCATGAACTGGACAAGGAAAGTATCCCGACGTGTTGCCCAGCAGACCTCCGAGACCGATCTCTACATATAACTGCAAAGTTTGATTCATGGCAGCTGTCGATGAGTCTGGCCGTAATAAAGATGTTGGACATCGTCGCTACGGCTGGGCTGGGCTCCGAGAGGTATAACCCCAAGGCAAAAGAAAGGGTTCCCTCGTGGCCGGCGATGGAATATTCTGCCTGCCTATTGGCAAGGTGGTATTATCAAATCGTGGGTTTATCAAGGATCAACAAACACACATTTGTTTGACTCGTATATTGAGCAGCTATTGCAGCATCGTGGCAGGTATCCAGAGCCCAAATCCGTACTGGTCATGGACAATGCATCCTGGCACTTCTCGCCAAGGATGATGCAGATGTTTTGCTAGGCGGGAAATCAAAATGTACTTGGAGCAGTGTGTCGATGTCGTTGGCAGCAGGTCGGATCTTGCCGAAGCGCAGTTTCGACATGCGAGAATCCACGTCCAACCACCACCAAACTAGCAGCTACTGTACTTCACAACGTTGAAATGCTGTCCTGGCGTGAGAGCTCTAGCGCGCCCAGGATCACAGTTTTCATTTACAGTCCTCTTTCATCTCGTTTTGCCTAACTGGATACCAATAATGGCCTCATCATGGGCATTAATTATAGCGTCGTGAAGCCGCTCCGGCTCTCCTGCAGGTGTCCCAACGCCATCCTTTCATCCATGTCGAAAGGAAACAGTGGTCTCCGTATCTTGAGGCAAAGTGGCTTGACAACATTGAATACTCTCGGAAACTCTCCCATGATCCTCTCGAGGCCGTTTACAGTCACATGGCCCTCTTTCGAGTTTGCGGCCGGCTTAAAACTGCCCACCAGAAAGACATCAATTAGTCTCTAAAAAAAAAAAAAAGGAAAATCGCTCGCGCCTGCCGTGTATCTGTGTAAACAATCTAATGCCTTTGCTTTGCAAATTTCTTGATATTCCGGACCCATTGTGCTGCAATGGCAGGAAGCACACCAGCTGCAATCATCTTATTACTAGCAAACTCCGGCTGTGCATGACAAAATTCCAGCTCTGAGAAATGATTTCTCGCGACTGTGCCTGCAAGTCTGAGAGCCTTCTTCCAATCATCACAGTCGACTTGCTCCTCAAGAAATGTATCATATTCCTGGAGCAGCTCGTCCCACCTGGAGCTGCTGTCATACGGCTGCACACCGAAGAGAGGGCCCCTTGATACGCTGGGCAATCGGCCCTGTCTTGTCTTGACAGAAACTGCCCACGGCAATGGCCTCTTGTTCACGACCGGCGTGACAGTACAGGAGATGGGAGGCGCGGGTTTTGCTCCGAGGCAGCACTGCCTGCTCAGAAATGCCGTGGCGTGTTCATCCTTGGATCGCCCGCGGCCAAACAAACCGAACTTGCTGCATACTTGTTGAAACGGGCCAAATCGTATGCACGCGACGTTGCGGGCGAAAAAATTTTTTAATAATAACAAAAGAGACCGTAGCCATCGCGGCCGCAGCGTGGGATCATCGCAGCACGGCAGCTGAGTGGCGCTTCCGGACTACTTACCTTTGGCACTTCTCGGGCATCCCATCACGTAAAGTGGAAAAATAAAAAAACTGCTGGCTTGCAGGAAATTATTTTGCTGTGGCGCACAAGACATACTATAGTCATTATATACAGATCTAATAGCTCCCCGGTCACATCTCGCCAGGTTGCCGTCGTCCGTATGGTCTAGTGGTTATGATGGCAGATTGCAAATCTGTAGATCCCTGGTTCAAATCCGGGTACGGACTAGTGAATGGCCTTGTCAAGCTCTATCTACATTTTTTGCATCTTTGGCCTGAAATATGCTAGGAGCTGGTTTACTTTGTCTTTTTGTTTTATTTTTCTTCAGCCGGCCACAATGGAGGCCTGAGATATGCTATGAACTGGTTGACTTCATCTTTCTGTTTTATTTTTCTTCAGCCAGCCAGAATGGACTCCCCAGCGAGCCGACTGCGTTTCAGTGTCAACGCATCAACTTCTCTAGCAGCAGCGGGTTGACACACATGGCCTTGACGCTTGATGTGCGTTTGACTGTTCAATCTCGGATAAAGAATGTGTTGTTTTGATTCCGGTCACCAAGTCGGAGAGGGCTCGCTGCTCAGTTTGAGACCGTTTCCCAACACAGCTACGTACTCCGTAGTTACATGTGACATGGAATCGATCCACCCAGATGACGCCAATGGCAACGGCAGAACAGCGCGACGAGCAGGCCGTACAAGAAGATCCCGCGGACGACTGCGACAGGTGTGCAACCCATGAGCTTGCTCGAGAAATAAGTTGCAAAGTTACACACACTGCTGAATCCCGGGCCTCTTCGCCCCACGACGGCGTCGAAAATTTTCATGGACAAATGACTCGGGCCACGTGGGCTTCCAGTCAATGGTGCGGGCACTCCACCAGCGACCAGGTGGCTCGTTCGTATCAACAAGGTTCCTTCACTGGCTATGCAATGGAAACAACAGTACGGCGTGCCCGTGGTCTGGATTATGGCGGGCTGTAGATAGGACACGGGATTCCCAGACGGTCACCGATTCTCGGCCCAGCTCGACTTTGCCTGCCTGCACTTCACGATGGGTGTCAAGGCTCGGAACCCCATACTCCCGTCAACAAGCTTGCCCTGCTTGCGGGGATCGACTGCGTTGAGCGCTGCTCAGATCGGGGCCGCGTTACGCAATTTGCACAGGCTGTACTGCCCGTTGCCAACGTCGCTGGACTTTCACACAGTCAGCAAGAGCCGGCTGACAGCCCCAGACTCCGGCTATGCTTCAGAAGCCGACATTGACGACGACGACTCGCCCGAGCTGATGAGGCGTGACGAGTTTGAGCGCGAGTTTGCGAGGCGTTGGTTGACGCGGTTCATCGGTCGTGCCTCCGAGCTCTCGCTGGATGAGAGCATCTCGGACCCTTTCGTGGATGAGGCATGCTCAATCCTCGGCTTCTTAAGCCATCGGGTAGAGGATGAGCCAGTTGGGGTTGAACATCTCGGAATGACGCGGGAATTCGCCTTCTCGTTCGAAAATGAGGACACTGCAAAGATCCGTGTCGAATTGTACGATACCCCGATGCAGACCGGAGAAGACCACACAGACGTCGGACTGCAAACTTGGGGTGCATCCATCGCTCTGTCGGAGAAGATAGCCAAGGAACCGGAACTCTTCCGCTTCACCGACGACGTCCTCTCTTCGTCCAGCCGAATCGTCGAGCTTGGCGCAGGAACTGGACTCGTCAGCTTGTTCTTGTCGAGACTCATGCCTCACATCACCGAGGCTCGCCCGGCCATTTTCGCAACGGACTACCACCCCACCGTCTTGTCAAACCTTGGAGCCAACATCAGCTCGCACATGTCTAAAACGCCCAACGCAGCTCCGATTCAAGCATGTCATCTCGATTGGTCCGCTCCGTCGCTGGATGCGCCTCTCGACGTCCCAGCAGACATGCTCATGGCCGCTGACGTGACATATGCCCCGGAACACGCTGTTTGGCTGCGAGACTGCGCCAGCTTGCTTCTCGGCGATGGGGGAGTCTTTTGGCTAATGGTCTCACAGAGACCGAATGGAAAGTTTGCTGGAATCAGCGACACTGTTGAGGAAGCCTTCCAAGACAAAGAGCGATGCAGACGGCGGGACGGCAAAGTGCTAACCATCGCATCTGTGCAGCAGGTTGCAAAGAAGGGCGAAGTTGGGCGAGCAGACGAAATCGGATACAAGCTGTTCGAAATAAGCTGGTCGTGAGCTGCTGCTGGGCTTGGAGCTCTTTGCCCGGAGATTAATGTGCGGTGAGGGCAGTTTGATTCCAGTCAATTTCTGTGTGCATAAAAGCGGCTAGACCATAGATTATAGAGTATAGAGTCACGACAATAGACAGACGGAGATGGCCACAAGAAAGCCTTGCAGGGGAGCAAAGATGCCAGCTTGTAGACGCCGTGGGTGGGAACGCGAGATGGCCAGTGGATGCTCGTGATCGGTTGGCAGTCGAGAGTCGAGGCAGGACTAACATGTTGACATGAGTGGAAACAAAGCTCGAGACCGGTCGTCCGTGGTCAGTGGACTGGCCTGACTCTGTCGGATGTTTAATATCGTGATGCGATCCAGGGGCGTCGCCCTGCTCCTGCAACGCAGTGGACGGCAGATGCGCTTGAAGGGTCTGCCCGCTCCTCTCCCTGCGTCTCGCCCGTGACGCCGCACGGAGTACATGTCGCCAGCCAAGCACAGTGCCCACCCGGTGCGGGGGCGTGCGGGGGGCGGCATCGTCCCCGGCTGTACTCCGTGCGCCCGTCGCAGTCCGACGTCGCTGCCGCTGCTTCGACGAGCAGCCGCCCACGGGTCCCCACGAGTCCTTCTCGTCGCGCCTGGTGGGGATCGAAGCACGAGACCAGCGCCTGATGAATCTACCTCGAGCTCTCCGCCACCGTCATCCATCCACGTCAAGTCGCCTCGTTTTCCATTTCGTCTGTCGTCGGGTTGATGTGCACATCGGCCAGTGCAATGGCTCCGTCAATATCCTTCCTCGTCCTTTAAGACCTGTCTTTCCCTTCCGCTTTCCCGCCTCTTGTGCCCAGGCTCCGGCCAGCTGACTCAACCGACGACCTCTCCTCGCATTGCTTGGTTGTCTTCGCCTCGCCACTCGGCAGCAAACGTCGGTGTAATTCTGTGCAATGGCGCGATTCTTTGATTTGGAGGAAGAGGGCGACGATGGCGCCAGTCATCCGCCCGAAGATCTGATTACACAGGCGTTGCAGGCCAAGAGCCAGCTACAAAACAAAACCGACCAGCTCGCAGCCGTGCCTGCTGCTGCTTCGACGCATTGTTCAGAGTCAATTGCTAGAGCTTTTCAGTGTTATCCGTATGTTCAACCCCGGCCCTTGAGAAGCTACCCATCAGCAGACCTCTTCCGGGGCATTTGACTGACACCTGCTCGCTCTACCTGCCTCGTTACTTGTTGTCGCAGCATCATTTCCTCCATAGTCTCGTCCATCGATTTGAATACGTTGGATTCTCTGGCACGCACATGTCATTCTCTGCACGACGGCCTCATTCAATATCGCAATGTTCTCGTCACGTCGACCTTGCATTGCACCAACGAACCAGTCCCCGTCAATCCCGAGGAGCTGCTTCGCTACCGCGCCCGTGCCAGCAACTGGCACTACATGGAAGACGGCCGCAGCTACAACGGCAAGTCGGGTGCCTGCGCCCGAGACATGGTAGACGAATGCAGAAGGTGTGGCGAGGTCATCTGCCGAGTAGGTTTCTTGCCCGCGTCAGCAAAGCTTGCTCAAGATCCGAGCAAGCTTGCGGCATCGCGCTAACGGCCATGGCCCAGAACTGCTCGATCAAACCGCCTGCGCCGGTCGCGCTCCGCGAAAGACATCGCAGGCTGTGCAGGACTTGCATCACGGCGCCGATCGCGGCGTTGGCGATCCCCCCGCTGGACCCGGAGTTGCCATTTGACTCTGATGCAGTGCGACAGTCCGTCTGCAAATGCGCAAAGGCCGGTGTCTGGCTCTGCCAGCCATGCGGCAGAAGCATCCGAGCGGCTGATCATGAATACCGAAGGTTTGTCCTGCCCGTTGTCGAAACGCGCCCGGCCCCCCCCCCCCCCC